CTCAGTCCTTAATAAGCATGTTATTACAGCGTGTTTACCTCGATGTCACTGACATTAGCCTCATGAGATGGCTCAGGCTGTAAAGCATTTGTTTTGCAAGCTTGAGGACCCAGTTTGATCCTTAGAACCCTGTAAACAGTCAGGTATAGCGGCACAGGCTTGCAATCCCACTGGGGAGGCAGAGACAGGTGGATTCCTGGATTCATTAGTCAGCCCTCCTAGTCTAGCTGGCAAGGGTGTTTGGATGTGTTCGAGTGAGCACATCATCTTTTTAAAAATATTTATTTTATGTGTATGGGCCTTTCATGCCATATATGTCCGTGTGCTATGTATGTGCTTGGTACCCTAGCAGGCCAGAAGAGCCTGAACTGGAGTTACAGATGACTGTGATCTGCCATGGGGGTGCTGGGAATTGAACTCAGGACCTCTGGAAGAGTAATCAGTGCTCTTAACCACTGAGCCATCTCTCCAGCCCCTACTCTTTTTTTTTTTTTTTTTTTTTTTTTTTTTTTTTTTTTTTTTTTTTTGAGACAGGGTTTCTCTGTGTAGCCCTGGCTGTCCAGGAATTTTCTTTGTAGCCCAGGCTGGCCTCAAACTCAGAGGTCCACCTGCATCTACCTCCCGAGTGCTGGGATTAAAGGCGTGCGCCACCACCACCCGGCTGCACATGGCACTTTTTAGAATCCTGGATCCACGTGCAAATGGTGTTGTGTCACACTACAGCTGAAGGACGTCAGTGTTGCCAGCCCTTTTGGCCACCGTTGTGGAATCAAGTGTGGACAAGTACTCCAAATGACAGAGTCAACTCTTTTTTTTTTTTTTTTTTTTTTTTTTTTTGAGACAGGGAGAGCATGTCTTGCTGGCCTGAAATTCCCTATGTACACCCGGCTAGTCTTGAACTCAGAGATCCACCTGTTTCTGCCTCATGAGTGCTTCGATCAAAAACGTGCGCCACCACATTAGATTGGCCCTAATCTGCTTGGTGTGGTTGGATGGAGAGAAAAACCAGCGACATGGTCCCCAGAGACCATTGTCTGGTGTGGCTAGGTTTCGGCACAGGTTGGTCTGACACTCAGAGGCCACGTGAACATGTCTTGCTCTGTGATGAGCCTTGACTTGCTGGGAAAACCAAAATCTTGATTCTTCTTTCTCTCGTCCTGTTTCTACTGTTAGGGAAATTCCAGCTACCATTTGCGACCATGCTGTTTTGTTGTGAGGTAAGGTCTCTTTTACCTGCATTACCCTTAAACTCATCCATGTAGCCCAGAGTGGGCTTGAACTTCTAATTTACTGGCTCCATGTCCTAAGTGCTCGGATTACAGGCGTGTCCTACCACAACCAGTCATTGTGGTGCTGGGCGTTGAACCCAGGCCTTCATGCACCCTCGCTAAGCACTCTACCACTGAGCTATGTCCCCATATATATATATATTTTTTTTTTCAGTGCTAGACTTCAAACCCAAAGCCTTTTGAATAGTGAGCAATCTTTCTACCCCTGAGCCACGCCCCCAGCCCCTCACTGGGGGATTCTAGGCAGGGGCTCTACCACTGAGCCACACCCCAGCCCCTCACTGGTGGATTCTAGGCAGGGGCTCTACCACTGAGCCACACCCCAGCCCCTCACTGGGGGATTCTAGGCAGGGGCTCTACCACTGAGCCACACCCCCAGCCCCTCACTGGGGAGTCTAGGCAGAAGCTCTACCACCCAGTTATACCCTCAGATTGGATTTTGGAGGGGAGGATTTAAGACGAGATCTCCTAGCCGGTCAGTGGTAGTGCACTCCTTTAATCCCAGCACTGGGGAGGCAGAGAGAGATGGTTCTCTGAGTTCGAGGCCAGCCTGGTCTACAGAGTGGGTTCCAGGACAGTCAGGGCCACACAGAAAACAGACAGGAGTTCCTGTGGTGTGAAGTAATGTAGGTGACAATTCCAGGCAGTGGAGGATGGACCATCCCATCAAAGTCCTTGGGAATTACAGCTAGCAAGAGACACAATGAGAAAGAGAGGAGCCCCACCCCAGCCCAGATGTGGCTCCGTCTCTTCCCAGAAACAAGCACAGGCCACAGATGCCCACAGTTTTTCTCTCTAGATGTTGAATTAAGAACTCTGGGACTGCCAGATGGCGGTGGTGGCGCACACCTTTACTCCCAGCACTTGGGAGGCAGAGCCAGGCAGATCTCTGTGAGTTCGAGGCCAGCCTGGTCTACAGAGCAAGATCCAGGACAGGCTCCAAAGCTACACAGAGAAACCCTGTCTCAAAAAACCAAAAAAAAAAAAAAAAGAACTCTGGGACTGGGGACATAGCTATCATGACACGGAGACTTCTTATTAATTATGAAAGCTCAGCTGATAGCTCAGGCTTGTTCCTAACTAGCTCTTAGAACTTAAATTAATTATGTGCTATTAATTTATGTGCCATCTCTATTAATTTATGTGCTCCCACGTGGCTTGTTACCTCATCTCCTATATGTTATGGTTCCTCCACGTCTCTCCGTGACTCTGCCCTTCCTCTTCCCAGTGTTCTCTCTGTCCTGAAAATCCTGCCTGGTTATTGGCCATTTAGCTTTTTATGAAACCAGTCACAGTGACATATCTTCACACAGTGGAAAGGGATATTCCACAACAGCCTACCATGCATGAGAAGGACCGTAGAAACCCTGGAAGCTCATGACTGTCATTCCAGCCCTCAGGAGGTAGAGGCAGGAGGATCAGATATCCAGTGTCATCCTTAACTACGTAGCAAGTTCAAAGCCAGGGATATATCAGACCCTTTGTCAAAACCTGACCTCCCAACCCTGCAAAAATAAAAAAAGAAATAAAGAAAACAACTGTCCCCAGTTCTAAGGAGCTGGGTCTCAGCCTTCCAGAGCCCATCAAGGCATGAAGTTCACACGGGGTGGGACTCGGAGGGAACAGTGAACTAAGGTGTATGTAGAACCTCCCCCAGGGGTGTTTTTTGTTTTGTTTTTTGTTTTTTGGCTTTTCAAGACAGGGTTTCTCTGTGTAGTTTTGTTGCCTTTCCTGGAACTCACTTGGTAGCCCAGGCTGGCCTTGAACTCACAGAGATTCCCCTGGCTCTACCTCCCGAGTGCTGGGATTAAAGGTGTGCGCCACCACCACCCGGCCCCCAGGAATGTTCTATTGAGGCAGGGCCTCCTGGGATCTGGAGCTAAGGGGGGAAGGACAGCTAAGGGATATCCCTCAAAAAAAAAAAAAAATCTTTTTTTATTTATAAGATTTAAATTTTTTTTTGTATGTGTATGAGTGTTTTGCCTACATGTATATCTGTATACCGTGTGCGTGCCTGATGCTCTCGGAGGTCAGAAGAGGGCACCAGATCCCCTGGAACTTTTCCATCCATTTTTTTCCTTAAAAACAGGGTCTCGCCGGGCGGTGGTGGCGCACGCCTTTAATCCCAGCACTCGGGAGGCAGAGCCAGGCGGATCTCTGTGAGTTCGAGGCCAGTCTGGGCTACCAAGTGAGTTCCAGGAGAGGCGCAAAGCTACACAGAGAAACCCTGTCTCGAAAAACCAAAAAAAAAAAAAAAAAAAAAAAAAAAAAAAAAAAAAAAAAAAACAGGGTCTCGCCTGGCGGTGGTAGCGCACGCCTTTAATCCCAGCACTCGGGAGGCAGAGGCAGGCGGATCTCTGTGAGTTCGAGGCCAAGCTGGTCTTCAGAGCGAGATCCAGGAAAGGCGCAAAGCTACACAGAGAAACCCTGTCTCGAAAAACAAAAAAAAACAGGATCTCATGTCGCCCAGACTGGTTGACCAGATGACTGTGAGCTGCCATGTAGAGATGGAAAACCAATCCAGGTCCTTCTGGAAGAGCAGCCAATGCCCTCAACTGCTGAGCCATCTCTCCGGCCCCTGGTTACACCTTTAGAAATGTATTCTCCCTCCAGGGTTCTCCCGTTGTGCTGTAAACCTGTATTTAAGACCTCCTCCCTCCTTCAATAAACTGTATTCGGCATTCAAAAAAGAAAAGAAAATAAATAAATAAATATATGTGTTTTCTTGTTTGTGTGCAAATCAGAGGATGACTTGTGGAAACATGCTCTCTTCTGCCAGCCCATGGGTGGGTCCTGGGGAACACACAGGTTGTCACGCTTGGTGGCAAACACTTTTACCCACTGAGCGTCTCAGCAACCCACCTCACCCATTTTTAAAAAATCATCATAATCAGTATACTAGCTCACTCTGAGTCCTGGAAGGCCAGAAACCCCTCTGGGTTGGCCACATTAACTTCAACTCATAACCCGCTTCCCTCAGCCCTCCTGGGCATCTCTACCTTTTTTTAACAAAACAAGACAAAAACAAGACAGGGTCTCGTGTATCCCAGGCTGGTTGACCTGGCACTCACCATGTGGCTGAGGCTGACCCTGAATTCCCGCTCCACCTCCCAAGAGGTAGTGTTACAGGTGTGTGCTGCCAAACCCAGTTTATGCAGCGCTGGGGAGGGACCCAGGGCTTTGTACCTGTTGGGCAAGCACTCTACCCAGTGAGCCGTGTTCCCAGCCCCTCCCCCAGACTATGCATCGCTCAGTTCTGGAACAAAGGACTGTGGCGTTAAATACTCTGAGGAGGGTAGAGTATTCTTGGGTCATAGGTGGAAAAGTTCTTAGCAGGCCTTAACTTATAAATAGGAAACTGAGGCAGGGGGAGAGGAAGGAATGGATTCTGAGTTGAGAGACTCAGAGGCGGTAGGAAATGTGTGTGGAGGGGGAGATGGTGAATGATTCTCATGAGATGGGAGACCGGGGCTCCCTCACGTGACAGCCGGGGGGGCGGCTTCGAGAAGGCAGAGCCAAGTGCCTGTCCCTTGCTCCCAAACCTTGTGTGGTGTACCAGATACTGCTTCGGGTGGACCCCTCCCCAGGCACGGCAGACACTGTATTGCCAGTCACTTCTGTTCACACCTTCAGCCGACTGTGGCCGCAGGCCAGTCCCCCCCCCACCACCACTCTCACCCACCCCCCACCTCTCCACACCAGCTCACTCACCACCTCCTCTTCCATTTCCTGTTCGCCTTCTCCTCCACCCCTGCCGAACAGGGCCTTTTGCTTCTCGGCCATCTCGTAGGTGGGCTGCATCTCGGGATCGTCCCGCAGCGTGTCCAGCTTGGGGTGGAACCATTCCCACTGCGTGTTGCGGTTCAGAGTCTCCAGGATGGACAGGGGGTCCTCGGGCCGCTGGTTCAGGATCTTGGTCAGCAGGTTCACCAGGTGCTCATACCTGCCTCCCAGGAGGAGTGGGGGGGGGTGGGGAATACCGCTCGCTCAGTGCACTGAGCCTATCTGGGGCCTGTCCCTCTGTCTACTGCTAGGGACACAGGAGGGAACAGAAAACGGCCCTGCCCAGGTGGAATTGACATTCTGATGATAGACACAAATGGCTACTTATCGCCAAGATGGGGGTGCTAAGACCTCCCTTCCTTCCTTCTCTGTAGCAGGGTCTCACTATGTAGCCCAAGCTGGCCCTAAACAAGAAATCTGGCTTCATGACTTCTATTTAATATTGCTTAAGTGATCATAGCCAATGCAATAAGGCATGAAAAGGAAAGGGATTAAAATAGAATAAGCAACATTGTTTAGGTTCACAAGCAATGCCTGGGGTTGCAGGAAGATCCTGAGGTGAGGGTATGCCTGGTATACTGGAAAAAGATGGAGTTTTAGTGTAGCCAGAACAGTGTAAGGGAAGATTAAGAATGGAGAAGCCAGAGTAATAATAGTCCCATGATGGTTTCCACCCACTCAGTCCAGGCACCACGCGGAGCATTTGAGAGCATTATTGAATACTTGTAACAACCATCTCTCTCTCTCTCTCTCTCTCTCTCTCTCTCTCTCACACACACACACACACATACACAGTAGTTTTTTAATTTAGATTTTATTGTATTTTTATGTGTACAACTGTTTTTGCCTGTCTGTATGTACATCACATGCATGCCTGATGCTTACAGGGGTCAGAAGGTGCTGGGGTTTCTGAGTGCTGGGAACTGAACCTGACTCCTTTGCAAGAATAACAAATGTGGGCTGGAGAGATGGCTCAGAGGTTAAGAGCACTGGCTGCTCTTCCAGAGGTCCTGAGTTCAATTCCCAGCACCCACATGGTGGCTCACAACCATCTGTAATGAGATCTGGTGCCCTCTTCTGGCCTGCAGGCATACATGCAGTACACAACACTGTACATACAATAAATAAATTTGGAAAAAAATGTTCAAGATTTATTTATTGTGTATAGTGTTCTGCCTGCATGTGTCCCTGCAGGCCAGAAGAGGGCACCAGATCTAATTATAGATGGTTGTGAGCCACTATGTGGGTGCTGGGAATTGAACTCAGGACCTCTGGAAGAGGAGCCTGTGCTCTTAACCTCTGAGCCATCTCTCCAGGCCCATATATATATATATATGCGTGTGTGTGTGTGTGTGTGTGTATGTGTGTGTGTGTGTGTGTGTTTCGAGACAGGGTTTCTCTGTGTAGCTTTGCGCCTTTCCTGGAACTCACTCTGTAGACCAGGCTGGCCTCGAACTCGCAGAGGTCCACCTGCCTCTGCCTCCCGAGTGCTGGGATTAAAGGCGTGCACCACCACCGCCCGGCTACCTAAATTAATATTTAAAACATCTTGAAAAGGCTGGAAAGACAGCTCTGTGGTTAAGAGTACACATTGCTCTCGCAGAGAACCAAGAGTTTGGTTGCCAACACCTACGTCAGGAAGCCCGCAACTGCCTAACTCCAGTGCCAGAGGATGCAATGCCCTCTTCTGTCCTTCACAGGCAATGTGTTCACATGTGCAAACACACACACACACACACACACACACACACACACACACACACACACACACACACAGAGAGAGAGAGAGAGAGAGAGAGAGAGAGAGAGAGAGAAACGAAACCTTGGAAAAAGAACAAGAGAGACTGACCAGGGCATTTTAAGAAGAAACCCTGAAGCCCCCAGGACTGGAAACGTGTTGACGAAACACAAAACAAGTTAGTTTTGAGTGGATCTGGAGCTGAGGTAGAGACTAATTGGTGAGTGGCAGCTGAGTATCCACTGTGGGCAGGGTGGGAAGCCACACCTCCTGAATGTGCTCTTCCAGTCAGCAGGGAGCCACAGCGGGTTCTCAGCACAGGAGGGATGGAATCGGCTACATGCTTTAGCCAGCCCTGTCTCATCCTCTTGTTCCCCCTGCCCACTGTGGTCCCAGACATAGCAGCGCCCTTCCAAGGCCTGGCTGTGCCCTATCTCTGGACCACTCTTCCTCTTGTTACATGCGGGGTGCTACCCCCGGGTCCCTCCCCGCGTTACCTCCTAAGCCCTTCTCATCGACTATGCCACGTTCAACCTTCGTATTTCATTCTCTATAACATACCTAACGGAAGAGGGAGGGGATCATGACCGCAGCTCAGTGACTGACAACCACCCTCCTCAGACAGGGGTTAGCAGACAAGAACAGGGCCCTGGGAGCCAGAAGCCTTGTTCTACAGTGCTGGCTCTACCACTTCCTGTGCTGTGTGATTTTAGATAAGCAACCCAACCTCTCTGGTTCAGTCTCCTGCAGAAACAGGCTTAGTGGCTCTGTGAATCCTTGGGACTAGATGTCAGGGTGGGGTGTGCTGGCATGGAGGCGGCACCTGCTGCTATTCCTCCCTCAGTTCTCTGCCACGTTAGATGATGCCCACAGAGACCCCACACCCGAGGCAGCCTTGGCTAGGGCCCTTCCCAGCCTGCTGCCCACCTTCTCCACCCCCAACCTCCTCTCACAGGCTGAGGCTGCAGTTCACGCTGGTCTGCAGCAGGTAGGCCTTGGCGTTCTGCACTGCCAGCTCGCGGGGCTCGGGGTCAGGCACCTCTCCGACGAAGGGCATGAAGCCCAGGTCCGAGGGCCCTGAGTGGAGAGTGGGGTCGTCCCTCAGGTACGGCCCGTGCTGCACGGCCTGGCCCATCAACTGGTCCTCTCGTGGGTACATGTTGAGCTGGCCCAGGATGCCGGCGCCCAGATCCTCCAGTTGTTCTAAGAGGCCCTGTCCCTGAGGGAACTGCTGCATCATTCTGTTCTCATCCAGGTAAGCCTGTGGCGAGAACTCCAGTGGAAAGCCTGGTGGGTAGCCTAAGCTCATGGACCGGTTATACTCCATGTCTTCCTCGCCTTGGTTATCTGAGGTGATGCTGGTCCTCTGTGGCCAGTGAGGCAGGCCGGTTGCCTGCAGGTCCTGACTGCCCTGACTGCCTTGACTGCTCCGACTGCTCCGACTGCCCCGCTGCGGAGGTCTGCGCAGCACATCGTCCAGAGTTCGGCGAACCCCATCCTCTGGGACGGGCAAGAGAGGCTGCGAAGACTCTCGACTGCGCCCCCTCTCTGAGCTTTGAGAAGTCTTCCGGCTTTGGGATGAGGGGTCGGCGTTGGGTGGTGGCTCCCCCATGTTTCAAGTGTGTGGATCTGTAGGAGGAAGGCTAGCCAGTGGGGGCCGCGCCTGCAACCTGTACCCTGCCTGCCGTTACATTACTAGCGCGGGCGCCTGCAGGGTGGGAGCTGGGTGTGCGCAGGCGCAGTCTAGTACTGCTCCGACTTCAGTTTCCAGTCCGCTGCAGAGAGACACTGCCGCCACGCCTGAGCGCCACCTCCTTTATTTGTGTTAAGGCAATGCTCTAGGTGGCCCACCCCGCTCCTCCCCCCCAACTCCCGCAGCTGTCAGCTGTTCCCCTTGCTCTCGGGTTCCCTGGCCTCCGGGCTGGAGGTTGTCAAGGTTTCCTCCACTGCGTGGCTGAGGCTCTGGGGGCTCCGCTCATCCTTGGGGCTCGGTCCGACTGCTGCTGCCTCCTGGTGGCGGGAGAAGGCAAGGGACAGCGGGTCAGGAGCAGGTTGCCCCTCAGCCCCAGGCCCGGGGCTCTGCTCCAGCCTCCCTCTGCAGTTCGAGCTGTCGCCCTACCTTAGGCAGGGGACCCTCAAGACTGGAGTCCAGGAGTGTGCTTTCAGCCAGCCCTGAGTCGTCATCCATGCTGATGAAGATGGCTGGGGTCTCACATTCGGGACCCTCCTCCCGGTATTCCATGGCCTCCTCAGCCGGGGTGGGACCGGCTCGGGCCGCTGGCGCCGCCGCCGCCGCCGCCGCCGGCATGGAGGAGGATGCCGAGGCAGCAGGCACTCCCACGCCTGTGGGCTTCAGCTTCTGTTCCTCCTCCAGCTGCCGCTTCAGGGCCTTCTCCTGAGCCAATCGCAGGCCGATGAGGTCCTGAGGGGGCCGTGGAGCAGGGGCCGGGGCCGGGGCCAGAGCCAGTGCCAAGGGTTCCAGGTCATCCTGGAGTGAGAGGGGCACTCAGCTCAGAAAGGGCGGTTCCCACCCCCCAGGATGGAGGAGACGGAGGCCACCGAGCTGCAGAAAGCATGGAGGGCACACTGCATAGTTTCTCCATCTGGACTCGGGAGTGGGGTGGAGAGTGGGGGGTGGGGGTGAGGGTGGGGGTGGAGGGTGGCCGTTCTCCTTTATCAGGAACACAATCTTGGGAGACTGGGTTTAACAACCGGGCCTCTTGGGGTGAGAGCCACAGGCAGGTGGATCACATTACCCTCACCTCTTCCAGGGGCCCTGCAGGCGTGTCCTTGACTTCGGGTTCCTGCTTGCCGCTGGCCTCCAGGATAGTCATGATGGAGTTGGGAATGTGTGCTTGCTAGGTTAAGGGAAAGGTGGGAGCCAGAGCTGTAGAGAGCTCTGGCCAGAGGCAACTTTCAGCAGCCCATAACCCAGAACTCAAACCCTCAAGAGCCCTCTTGCTGGCTTGCTCGGCTCCGCAGCCCAGGTACCTGGTGGGGGGTGAAGGAGCGCACGTGGGCCAGCAGGGGCTCCCGGAGCTCAGGGCACTTGTCAAAGACCGCACCAAGCTGCTGCGGAGGTAGCTGCAGGATGACCTGGAAGCTCTGGGGCTTGGTGCGCTGGCAGCACTTGATGAAGCCCTCCCATACCTTGGGGTACTTCCACACCTGTGGGGCGGGAGGGGGCCATCAGGGGAAGGCCCAAACAGCCGCCTCCTTCCCGCAGGCACTGCCATGGCTAGGAGCCCAGGTACCACCACTTGACCGCATATTCCTGGCTTCATACACCCACCTGCCCAGGAATTTGCCTTTTCTCACCTAGGAAACTGTACTAGGACATGACCCTGGAAGGGGGGGACCCCGCCCCCAATCCCTAGGTCAGCACCCATATGTTGTTCTCACAGTTCTCTCTAGCCAGTGCCTTTAGCCATATTTAGTAGGCTGCAGATGCAGGGACCTTAGCCAGATGCTGCACAGGGACAGCCTTTGCTCAGAACCCAGCTCTCGGATGGAGGATAGAACTTGATTATCATTTCCACAAAACAATTCTAAAAGTTAGTGCTGCAAGCTTAGAATCCCAGCACTTGGAAGACTGATGCAAGAGCATCACCACAAATTTGAGTTCTTGGTTATTCTGGGCTATATATATAGCAAGACCCTCACTAAAACAAAGCCAACACCCCCACCCTAATTCCCGGTCAGATGCTTCCAGCTGAGCTATGTACCCTGTAGGGCCTAGGGGTGGGGTAAAGGGAGGTACTCACACCTCTCCTATCCCTAACTGTTCTCACTGGGCACCCTGTAGCCAGTTGGAGGAAATTGGAGGGAACACAGCAAAAGGCAGGGTTGGTAGGCGATCCAGAATAGGACCCTGCTCCCCAGGCAGCTGAGATTGGCCCACTGTGGCCGACTGCCTGGGGCCAGGGCAGGTTACCTGCTTCATGATGAGTCGGGCCAGGATGTTCATGACGAAGCCCCCCAGGCGGGGGTACATGGTCAGGGACTGGATGACGGTCCGCATGAGCAGCATGGGCAGGGGACTTTGCTCCATCAGCTGCTGCATCACCACAGCTAGCACCTCCGATGTATACACATTTCGCTCCGCAAAACACAGGTTGGTGGCTGTGAGGAGGCGGAGAGTGGGCCTGTCCTCTCTGTCTGGATGTCCCCATCAAGTGGGAACCCCACCCAAGCTTCTCCACCCCTACCACAAAAGGCCCTTTATGAGGATGTTCAATGGTCCTGCCCCCAGGAAGATGGAGATAGGTGTGTCCGAACCCCTGGATACCCTGTGGTGTGCCAACTGGGAGACTCAGCCTCTTCCCTGAGGACAGTCCTGGGGAGTTGCTGTAACCCACTAAGGGGGAGAGGTAGGAGCTGCTGACACCCTAGCATCCCCAGAAAAAGTCTCTGCCAGAAGGCTGATCAAAGGCAGTAGGGTCTGACGGAGCAGTGAGGATCCAACAAAGGACATTCAGGAGAGTAACAGGGAAGGGAGGGGTAAGAGGCAGTGGTGAGGGCCCGACCCAGGATGAGGACCCAGCCGAGTAGCCAGTGCCCACAGGATGTGGAAAGGCGTCAACTGAAGAGAGCATGGAGCAGGCCTTGCTTGGGGTCTAGTTCCTGGGAGTGCGTGGCAGTGTCAGGGCCTACTGGGCTGGGGGGGCAATCACAGGAGCTGCCTCTCAAGTCCTTCCCCAAACACCACTGGCCATGTGAGTGTGTCAACCAGGAAGTCTTTATTGAGCCAGAAGAAAGGTCCCCACCCCACCCCACCCACCAATCTCTGAGAGGCCAATGGAGGGAGGGTGGTCTGTAAGGAGGCGGCCCAGAGAGAGGAAGGATATTGCAGCAGATGCACAGGCGGAAGGGCAGAGGAGAGGGCTGCCAGGACTTGAGAGGTGCCTGGTCCTCTGTGGAGACACGCTCCCCTGCTGCTCAGGTGGGCCCTGAGGCCAGAGCCCACCCAGCCTCTTCTTGCGCTTCTCACTCAGCCTCTAACCCTCCCCTCAGCAGCCCAGACTGTCCTCCACCCCAGACGGCTGCATGAGGCCAGGGGCCGTTTCCTCCCTCACCTGGAACCTCTGTTCAGCCCTAGCTTTGAACAGGTTCAGCTCACTGTCACCTCCCCCTATCGGTCCCGCGGGCTGAAGGTGACCCCGCTTCAGAAGGCCCTGCCCTCGTCCCAGCCAAGCCAGCTGTCAGGGTTGTCAGCATCCCGACCTGTACGCAGCACTGTGCTGGGACCCCACAGCACCCAGGGACGTCAGGATCTCACACAAGCACAGATGAGATGCAGGGCGAGCTGTGGGTGCTGGGGCCCAGCAAGGCTGGGGGTTGGGGACCGACAAACATTCCCAAGCAAACCGCCACAGTGTACAAGGTGGGACTGTCCACCAGCTGCCTGTGCAGCCTTGGGCAGGACCATTTCTTCCTTCTTCATGACTGGACTGCTACTGGATCCGAGATGGCTGTGTGTGTGTGTGTGTGTGTGTGTGTGTGTTTCCAGATTATGCACAAACTAGGTGATGAACACACGGCCCTGGGGACCAGGCTATGGGGACAGGATTGTCCTGCTGCGCCTACAAAAGTGAGGGTGTGGTAGAACACTTGCCAGGCACATTTGAGGCTCTAGGTTCATTCCCAGCATGGTAAAACAAGAAAATGTGTGTATGTGTGTGGTGTGTAAATGTGTGTATGTGTGTGGTGTGCGTCTAAAGCCCACAGTCCTGGACCACAGCCTTTGAGACCTGTCCCTGATCCCTTCCCCTGGGCCTGCAGCTCCTGTCCTGTCTTCACAAGCTCCCCCCACTAGGATTGCTGAGGAGGGCCAGGAAAGCAGTCTCTGAAGAAGCTACTGCAGGCCAGAAGAGGAAAGGGAGGGGCAGAGAGGTGGAGGACAGGATGACAGGCAGGGCCCCTGCTGGAACAGAGTTGTTTTTGGCCCACAAGTCTCCGGGGAAGGGAAGAAAGAAGGGAAAACGGTGTCTTCCCAGGGGAGGCTCACGGGCAGAGCCCTTCTTGGTTTGGGTCCAGTGTGGCTCACATGTGTTCCATGGCTAACTTCTGTGAACTCTGCCCTGACTACACCATACTTACCAAGAGCCACGAGGGTGATAGGAGTGGGCTTGTGGCATGGAGGGAGAGCCTGGCTCAGAGGGAATGCTTGGGCAGCCAGGGCAGAGGAAGCCTGCCAGACTGTCACCAAGCCCTGCTATGGAGGTCTTCTGTTGCCTCAACTCAGGCCTGGCATCTGATCATGCCAGCAGAGGCCCTTGTGCCTCTGAACTGCTCCACGGGCTCTGCTCCCTTGAGTGGGAGGGATGGCCCCATTGCCAAGACCCACCTGATGCCAAGGCACAGCTCTGCACGTGCCTTACAGAGGCCAAGACGGGGCCAGTGGGGCCATGCAGGTGACTGAGGTCCTGCCCCAAGTCCACGGGAGCTGGGCCATGTGGGAACAGGGTGCCTCACCTTTGATGATGGACTTCATGTCACACTTGACTGAGTCAATGTTGTGCAAGGCAATCAGCAGCTCTCCCGGATTCAAGGGGGACAAGGCTGAGTTCCCTTCACCTGCAGTGGGCGGCAACAGGGGAGGAGATGGTACAGAGGCCTCTGCAAAGAGGGGGGCCTCAGGCCAGACTTGAGGAACAGTACACACAGATAAGGCACCCTCTGCTTCAGGGACTGGGGGACAGAGGGTGAGACTGGATGAAGTGTCCTGAAGTCTTCACCACTCCCCCGCTCCCACCTTGTTAGAGCGGCCTTGCTGTGGCCTACTGTTCCCACGGGGACGTGCA